CACTTGGTGTGGAGTGCAGTACCTTAGCCAACATGGTAAACAGGCAGAAACAGAAGCAATTTTCATCTGGTAGTAGATGAATATCTATTCTTTTCGGCAACACCGAGCATTACCAAACCAGCCAAGAGATGATCTCTCCGGTGTGTCCTGGCTGTGTGTCAGACTGAAGGCCTCTTGAATCAGTCGGGTAGTTGTAGAAGATTTTCAGGACGTTAACTGGTCAATGCGGATTATGTTGTCGCCTTCACTACAGAAGAATTCAGTTAGTTTGTGTGCTGAAAGACTTTAGCAGATGTTCACACAAATAGCCTGAAAATCACGGTTGAACTTTGCACTGTTTGTCACATTTGATGTGAAGCAACATTCGCTGCACCGGCATCCACACAGAGACACAGTAACAGCTACTGTTGGTCACACAAGAGAACCCCTGACATGACCTGGTCATAGTTTAGAGTGACTGGACATCATAGGGTGATGGTCAGTGGTTTGACTCCACATGCACGACACTGATGATGCAACCCATGTGTGTGCATGATGGGTAAGAAGCACTTAAAGCTTCAAGTTCCCAGTTTAGAGTCCAAAAAGACCAGATTCAGTCCTTTCAAGTGACGGGAGCTAAAACAGAGGCTTTCAGACGGAGCACGAGAAAAGAGGCCAGAGCAGCATATGTTGCGGAAAGCTGATCAAGCAAAATAATAAGCAGGATATTTAAATATGTCAGCATGTCCCAGCAGGTGGCAGCAGATCTTTGCTCTGCCTGAAGAAAATGTTTTGACATGTTGGGAGTCTGCTCCCGTCTGTGGACGGATCTTAAAACCACTGAAATGTGACCTTTGTTACGATCTCAGACTGAGGCTCCGAGCGCAGGAGGGACATGTGGAATGAAGGGTTGGAGCCCCCTGGTGGTCGAAAGCTGCTACTCACATCATCCTGAAACTTGAATCTGTGCTGCTGTTAGAAAGAGAAAAAGCAGAGTCATGAGTGGTGGAGAGTCAGTGGAGCTCAGACTCTGGTGTTGGTAAAGGGGAAAATTTTAAAATATCCTGCTGGAATTTTTCTCCAAAGTTTTCCTTTTGCTTCAAATTTCAGCCTCAGAAAACAGAGAAAATGAGAACCAGACCACAGGGAGAGGAGAGAGGGAGGAGGGGAGCTGCTCTGGGATCAGATGTCTGGACGGAGGAGGAGGAGGAGGAGTTGTGGTGTCGGTCTGCAGCTCAGATCAGACTTTCACACAAAAGCCCGGAGCTGCCGAGAGACGGCCAACCGACAGCCAGTCTGTCTGTCCGTCTGTTTGGACAAACTGACGCTGAAGAGAAAGAGCAAAAAGTCTTCAGAGGGAGTCAAACCGAAGCAGCAGGAGGAGCAGAAATCAGAAAAAGTGGAGGCACTCGAGCAGGAGAGCTGAGTCGGCACATTCTGCTCTAAAGCTCCTACAGACGTGTTTGATTTCAGGATTCTGGATCCTCAAAAGTTGTTCCTCAGCTTTATCTCAGAGGAGCTGGACTGACAGAAACCCTCAGTCGGCACACCCGGGGATGGTTTTTAATCTGAAAACCACATCAGCCAGATTCCTCTGATTGTTTCTGCGGATACGTGACGTGGAGATGGAGGCACAGAGACTGGTAACGTTTAGATTCCTGAAAGAGTGACAAAGAGGAAAAGATGGGAGCGAGAGGGGGAGGATGAAGGAGGGTGAGACATTTTTGACCTCCACATGGCTTCAGCCAGAGAGCAAACCACCAGAGAGTCGCAGCTGAAGTTCATTTTCCTGAATGGAGAAAAGAGTGAAGCAGATAACCGATGCCGAGTGCGCCTGTGTGGATTTCCCTGAGAGCAAAACCGACTCTGACAAGCAGAAAGTGACTGATTCAAAAACAAACACCCATTTTTTAAAATAAAAAGAAAAGAGAGAAGGAAAAATCTCATGAGAGTGGAGAATGAACTGAATAAACTCTGACCTGCGTACAGGTGTGCAGTGACGTACCTGTGCAGGCATGCAGCTGAACCGACCTCGCAGCTCTCTGCTCAGCCTCCCTGCTCCTCCTGCTCCCTCCTTCTCCAGTCAGTTCAGCACCATGAGGTTCTCCTACCACCTCAACACGCCGCCACATGGCAGCCACAGCGCCACCTGCAGGACAGGTGAGTGCACTGCAGCTTTTGTGTATTTGTTTAAAGGCACTCTAAATGTATGTGTTTTTAAAAGCTTCCAGATTTAACCACAGCTCTGTCTGCATGTTGTGTTATTGAGCAATGAACTGAAGTTAAACTAGGGCTGGGCTGTACTTTCATGTAATGCCAGACTGCACCACAAGATGGTGCAGCGATTCACCGTAACCTTTACAGGTGAGTCATCATAAACATTGTTTAAAGGGGAAATGCCAAAGCCTCTTAAGGAAATGGAGGAAAAAGTAAAAAGAAATGTCAAAAGATTAGAAGGAGAAAAAAACAACACATCTGTAAACACATCTGGTAAAATGCTGCCCCCTGGAGGTTAATCTTATTTGACGCATTCTGCAGAGGGTAATTACAAAAAGTGCCTTTAACTCAGCAGAAATTGCACATTTTTATAGGGATGGTGTCGGCAGCTGGTTCCGAGAAGATAAAATATCTGGAATTTTTAAAGTGCTGTGCAGAAGTCTTGCGTCGGCCTCATTTCTTCACATTTTGCTTCCAGTGAGCCAAAATTTCTTCCTTGTAATTTAAAAAAAAAGTGGTTCTGGACAGTTCTTCTCCAGGCTTTCTGAAAGTCTTTAAAACTTTTTCCTTTGGACTTTCTCAGTTACTTGCAGTCAGATCCTTGTACCTGACCAGTTTCAGAGGCTGTTTGTTTGTGGAACCACTTAACACTGACCTATGACTCATTCAAGCATAAAAAGTCACCAATTCAATGGACGAACCAGTGATGTTTCTACACGTCAGCATTGTTGGGATCATTACTCAATCCATTATACATTACTTATTACTTTTCTTAAAAGTAATGCAGTACTTTAATTACTCACTGGGGAAAGTAATTTGTTACATTACTTTCCAGTTCCTCCGTAAAATGACCTGAATTGTGTCATAATCAGCACTTAGCAATATAAACCTTTGGCTGCAGTCACGTGTCCTAATAAGGACACACATAAGAGCTTCCTCTTAGTATTTAGGTATGAACACAAAGCAAAGATGAAAACTTTCACAAAGAAACTTAGATGAGATCGCCATGGTGATTCTCCTGTGGAAACATTAACAGGTACAAACGGAGTCTGCAGACTGACTCCTCATCAGTTTGTTACCTGTTGAAGTTCAGGGTCTGGCTGTCGGGCGGCATTCAGCTTTATCGTCAGTCTGGGGTCTTGGATAGCTTTGTGTTAACATGCTGTTCTTGCTGGCAAAGAGTTGAAGGTTTTTTTTAGGAGTTTAATGAGTCGTTTCTGTCCTGGAGACAGTATGAATTTCATTATCATTGTGAGTAACATCCATATCGCATTTTGCTCCTCCCTGCACGTGAACTGAAATCATCTCAAGAAGAAAAAACTTTTTTTCCATCTTCTTCACATGCAGATAACTGAAGAACCTTTGTAACGCAAGTAACGACATAACTGTAACTGAATTCAGCACATTAATGCCTGACTTTGCAACACATTACACCAAATTCTGCAAATTTTTTGAAATATTTTTCTCTGCCTGTCAGAAGAACACAGTTTGTTTGCATTTCTTTAGTTACATTTATTTAAAAAAAACCAAAGATAACACGTCTGAGAGGCACAAAATAATATTTTTGCACCAACAAGGTGATTCACAAAGCGCTAAATTACCACAGCGTCCTTAGTGTTTGGTAGTGCTGCTCCTGAGATGACCATATTAGGTATATGTCATCTCTGTGACATCACACAGGTCTGCTGTCTGAGTGTTTGTCTCTTTGTCATTTAAACTTGAGCCATGACTGTAGAGACTCACTGAATGGCCACTGAAAGCAGGATGAGTTTATTTAACCTTCATAGCTGCTGCCCGCAGTGAAAGTTACAGTCATGGTGGTGATTGGTGCGATGCTGCGGCTCGTCTCTGCAGCTCCATGTCCTGCCTCTACTTTCATTTTTCTGCTCGTCTGTTTAAACAAACAGAAACATAAAAGCTCTAATCCCTGAGCAGCAAAAATCCGACAGTTTGCTTTTATTTTTAAACATAAAGCAGCACACAAGCCGTCACAATTAAATATTCATCATATGTTGTAGATCATCCATTCATCAGCAGTCTAATGGGGAAGCCCAGACTTCCCTCACCCCTGCCACCTCTTCCAGCTCATCCGGTGGGACACAGAGTTTTTCCCAAACCAGCAGAGAGACATAATCTCTCCAGCATGTCCTGGGTCTGCCCCGGCCTCCATGTGGGAGGCGTCCAGGAACTAGCTTATATTCTGTGCAGTTACACTGTCCTGCAGCTGGTGCAACATTTATAGTTCAGTATTTTTATTTTATACTTCTGTCATGCACCATGTGAAGTTTCTGCATACGAATCTTCATGTATCCGGTCTGATATGAGCTGATTAACAATATTCTGGGTTAGGCATTAAACCCACGTGGTAGTTTAGAGAAATATCATGTTTTGAGTTAAAATACGACAGTTGCTGCTCTTTGTTGTCCGCCCAGTTTTGTCTGGACACATTCGTTCTGCAGACACTTTTGTGCAGTAAAGCTGGTCGGGAATAGCAGTGAATTTTGAGTAAGTAAAGACTTCAGAGGAGTTGCCACACTATGCAAAGCGATCCATATCCAGTGAGCCGATCTGCACTCTCTGGCGGGTCTGTTCTGGTGCCCAGACCGCATGTTTGACACCCCCTCTCTCAGGCTGTGTTTGCTTTGCTGCCTCGTTATCTGGGAGCTGATTTGATTGCATTATTGATTGTTTGCTTTATGAAACTTGCCCACGAACAACCGACCAAAGCAGCATGTGGTTCACACTCAGGTCTTTGGGATTCCAGAGGTTTGTGGCTGAAGGTCAGAGAGACATAATTCATTACATTAGACTCAATCTAATTAAACGTGACGCTCGCTCGCTCTCTGGTGAAGCTGAGGTCAGACAGGTCACATGACACCTCCACGTTTAGCTTCAGTGGTTGAAAGCTGTCATGTGGTGCTGTTTGTAGAATAATTGAATCAGGGGAACAGAACCACAGCAGATCAGCGTGTCAACTGTTTTCTGTACCGCTCTGAGGACACGGGGTCCAGTCCTTAATCTGGGCCTCCTGAGAGTTCAGGCCGGACTTTGGGGGGTTAGAGCCAAGTTCAGGCTTAGTGGGATGACTGAGAGTCCACACAAAGATGGGAAGTATCCTAAGGGTTCCCACAGGTCCAGATCCGGTCTGATGAACCCCGTTTAGGGTCCCAGGGTTGCTGCAGTAGCTGTTTCAGAGCTAATGCGGAACTCATCGCTAAAGTAATGACTCATTCTGCTGTCAGTCGATCATGAGAGATTTTCCCAGCAGTGGTGACGGGATGCAGCAGCTGCACCCTGAGGGAATACTTCATGTTTAGAGCACAACATCTGCAGAAACTTGCATGAATCAAACAAACCTGCTGTTGCAATCTGGAGTTGTGGCTGCGCTTTTATTTTCCTAAATAAACGTACGTGTGTCACTGCAAACGCGGTTGAAACGGCAGTGTTACGTCTGTGAAAGGTGGCGAAATCTGAACCGTGGATGATGTCGACGTTTTCACGTAGAAGGTCAAATCATCTCTTACCAAGTGAGAAATCTCTGTCAGATCATTGGTTACAGTGTACACAGACGAGTCATTTACATTGATGTACATGTAAAGAATAATTCGTTGCGTGCACTGTGACAACTATCACCTTCCTTTGATGTCATGAAAACCATGAAAGAGTTCTCAAACACAAAGTTTTTGTTTCTGGAAATGTTTCTACAGACAAACACATCCAAGAAGTACGTCAAGCAGATACTGACTCTAAGTTTTTAACAAAATTCTTTTAACCATGTATCTAACGAAGACCGCCAGCTGATGGTTATTTAATGTTGAAATGCATGCTGGGTATGAGGCAGCAATAAGACGGCTCGGTCCCAGCAGAACTTTCAAGACGAGGACGGGAAGCAGTGATGGACCTCCTGATAGTGATACTGTGAGACAGTTAAAATACTTGGAGCTGTAATCAGTGAGGAAATCACTGGAACAGCTGAAGATGACATTACACGATTTCAGCTAATTGTCATCTCCATCTCATCTTATCCCTTCAAACTCTGGACCTGCGCATCACAACTTCCTGTATGATCATTCGCATCTCAAACGCATCACAAACCAGAAGCAGAGAGCGCAAACCTCCACCAGTGCAGCTAACGCCAGTATATACTTTTAATGGAATAGGGTTATATTTTTTTAAATGTAATCTAACCCAGCAGTCCCCAAACCAACACGGAATATGTCAGACAATATTTTCACAGACTGGCCTTAAAGATGTTGTGGATAAATACAACAAAATAAAACCAGTACAGGTACCAAAAATCCAGAAGATTTATTCATAACACACGAGAAAAGAGCCAGGGAAATGGAGTTAACGACAAATACGATAAAAAAAATCATGATAAAAACCCTGAAAACCATAAATTTCACACCAGAGCTTCAACTCTTGCGGCCAAACGACTAACCGACCGGTACCGGTCCGTGGCCCGGGGTTTGGGGACCGCTGACCTGAGCAGAGTGCAGTTATTTTTAAAAAGTGCAAAGTATCGGATTTTATTTGCTCTGTTTAAACCCATTTTAATTCTGTAATGCAAACTGTATTATATTTGATATCAGCTTTTGGGAGTTTTTCAGATCTCTGCATTATCAATGTGATTTTTATTTATTTATTTATTTTTTACTAAAAAACCCTGAAAAACTGCGCAAAAATACCAAAGATTCAAATGAAGTCTCATTTATGCAAATGTACTTATTTTTCCAGTGTTCAGAGTGTTAAATAAAGTCTCCAGTTTTATATTTTTCTGGCAGTTATTTAATGGTTCAGGCTCTACAGGGTTAAAAATTCATAGTTTTGAGTTTAATTATTTTTTTCATTTATGTGGGTATAGTACGCGTGTAGTAATAAATATCATGTTTAAAGAGTTTGTGTTTAGTTTTCTAAAAAGGAAAAGGAAAAAAAGAAACCGT